AGTAACTGAAAGAATTGTCCTGCCAACGACATGCTTTAATATTATGGCTAGTTTCTTTAGTTGTTCCACCGTCGGCAGTTTGTCTCGCCGAACATGGAACGAGGGTTGATATATGCTGCAAACGATGAAAGTGGGCCTTTGAATCTATTGTGCATTTGTGGTGGGACTGCCCGACCTCAAGTCGGATCTTGTGATGGATCAGTAAACAATGGGATAGCATCTCAGGGTCCCCGCTTCAATGGACGAAAGAATGGACATTGTTAGGCAGCGTCCCCGACCGCCTGTGTATGTCCAAAGGTTGAGGTTACGTGGCTCGGTCCCAGTGGGCTTCCACGTGATCTAGTCGACCAGAACAGTAGCGTCTTAAACGACAAACAGTGGTCCAATAAACAAATTCACTCGACATTTACCACTCAACTGAGACTATCCATGCATGCAGATTGGAGGAGGAAGGTGAGGAAATCATCACAACCATCTTCGAGAATAACATGGCTCGGACAAACATGGTGCCTTCATGACTCCTTGGCAACCATAAAAAAAGGTAAGTTAGTTTCCGACCCCTGGTTATTTTCTGCTTAGTTAAAGGGACCTACCTGGTCACTCGGTTACTACAGCCGCAGGAGGCTGGCAGAGGGAACAATAGGTGGAGGGAGTGTACCCGTATTCGTTTGGAGCTCTGCTACCCATCGTGCATAGGTGGCTGAAGATAAGTAGGATAGATAGGCTAGGTGTGGCAACAGTAGTATTTAGTAGAACCAAGAATACCGTTACTGGCTCCAAGGGGCTGTTTGGATTGCTTGGGTATTAATTAGTACCGTGATGTTGGAATTAGAGTATTTAGGTTTGTATTTGGCTTTTTGAGGCCTTCGTGGCGTTCCCTTCTTTCTTTTTCTTTTCTTTTTTCCAAGGTTGGGATGTGTCAGTACACCGGTCCAGATTTGGCCATTTGGCTACTAAGCCCGTGTCCCAAGACCTGCACCTAAGTTGGGCAATGGTCCCAGTGTTGTTTCCTTTTTCGGGTTGTTTGTGGAGGAATTTCCAGCCTACTTCCTTTTTTAGTGGGAATAAATGAGCAGAGTTTCCTTGTAAAAAAATGGATAATTTGTGAAATACCCTTATAAGTTAAGATGCATGACAAAATGCCCCTAAAAGATGTGTGTAGGGTGGAATACCCCTTTGACACAAAAAATGTTTTGTGAAATGTTCCTGGCGTCGGTTGGACCTCCTATCTTTGCAAAATACCCCTATCGGGTACTGTCCATTTTTTGCAGAATGTCCCGGTGCTTGGCAACTTTTCCCAGGCCCTATGTATTTTCGTTTTACCCCTAGTGGCCCAGGTCATCTTCATATTTTGCGCCCTCGCCGAGAGAGAGAGAGAGAGAGAGAGAGAGAGAGAGAGAGAGAGAGAGAGAG